GGGAAAGAGAGAGTCATTTGGAGTTTAAAATATGGGGACATGTTTGGAGAAGTTGGTGCCCTGTGTTCTAGGCCACAGAGTTTTACATATCAAATCAAGACGATTTCCCAATTGTTGAGGCTGAAAACCAGTGCTCTACTAGAAGCAATGCAGACCAGATCAGAAGACAATGTTGCCATGATAAAGAATTTCCTTCAGGTTGGTATATATTAAGTTACAGACTTCATTTCTTCCACTAATATTGAAAAACTTCAATTTTGGGGGAAATCTTGTTCATGTAAAGAGTTTTCTCTCTCTTTTTTTGGTGGATATAGTCGGGGAGATTTTGACCACAAAGAAATGCATCACAAAAGTCCTACAACTGACATGAAGTTTCTTAAAAACAGACAAAAAAAAAAAAGGTTAAAGTCAACATCTTGTTGAAACCAATCGCCTATAGGGTACCAAAGACCCTGCCTACGAATCTCATTGCCTCTGCAGTAATGCATTATTCATTCCTATACATTGATTTAGTGATAAGTGGGCACATGCAACACTGATGTTAACTTTGTTATTACAGCGTTCTCTAATAACTTAACTTAGTTTCAAAAGCCGTAAAACATAGATTTCATCATATTGTACACCAGGAATTGCAAGACTATGATTAAATTGATACCTTTGCCAGTGTCCATGAATGCATATACAAATACATGGAAATTCTCAAATCGGCCCTACTTCTAGCATGATGCTTTATAAATAGTTCGTTTTGTCATCTAAAAGCCTCATGCTAGTTCCAAATGTCACTAGAAACTCGAACTAGCTTTAAACTATTACGGAAGGTTTTGTTTTTGAAGCACCACAAAAGGTTCAAGGATTTGCATATTGGGATATATTTCTTGAGTGTGGGTATGAAGCTGATGACCCAAACATGTCTATCAACTTGCTTACTGTTGCCAGTACAGGCAATGCTGCTTTTCTTGATGAGCTTCTAAAGGCAAGTTGGACCCTGACATTGGAGACTCCAAAGGAAGGACCCCATTGGTATGTTCCTATATGACCCACCCAAATTTCATCTTGTAAACCTGATTTGAGGGTTCTACTCATGGTTTACATGGAAGGAACAGAAGGTACCGATATGGATACGTCTTGGCCAAGTCATATCGGTGTTGGTCAATACTATGAACCATGTTGTACAAGCAGTGCTCAGGTTTTAGTGATCACCACATTCATGGTCCATCAATGCTTTAACTGATTGATTCAAGCATCTATGATTCCATTCACAAAAATCAAAATGCTGATTGTTAATTGTTTCTGTGGTGGTAACTAGTTCTGGTGTGAAACTATAGTAGTTGCCATTGTCATCATAATACTTTCTTTCTGGCTTTTCCCATGTGATGCATCAGCACATTGCAGCATCAAAGGGCATGAAGAATGTGTGTCAGTGCTCCTCAAGCATGCCTGTAACATTCACCTGCAAGGTGAAGTATCATCCTTGTGATTTCTTTCCTATCTCATTTTTTGGGTTTTTTGCACCCAAAGGGCAGTTGGGAGACGGAATCAATAACTGTCTGAATTTCTTCAATAAATGTGCAATCATTCCATAAATTATCATCTTATCACCAAGATCATATCATGTGCAGCAGATGTAGATGGTAATACTGCCATGTGGGATGCTATAGCAGCAAAGTACCACTCCATATTTCGGATGTTGTATCATTATGCTTCTATCTCTGATCCCTACACTGCCGGTGACCTTTTATGTACAGCTGCAAAGAGAAATGATTTGAAGGTGATGAAGGAACTCCTGAAACACGGAGTACACGTTCACATGAAGGATCATCAAGGGTTACGGCTATCCAAGTCGCAATGGCATAAAACCACATAGACATGGTTAAGCTTCTTGTGATCAATGGGATGAGCAATTGACACAATCTAAGTGAAAGAAGAAGTCAGACCATGATGGAGTTGGCTTGCCTTCAGGCTCTCGTCCGTTGTCTTAGTTCTTTCTTTCAATACAAGTTGACTAAGCTGAAATCGACGTTCTTAGATGTCTACATATGATTTTGATATCAGAGATTATCAAGAAGGTTTTGATTTTAGAAACCTATTGATTAGAAATTGTTTGTTTTAGCCAAAGTTAAAATACCATCCTTTTGATATTCATAAAATGATTATTTATATTGAAGATTTTCAAAGTATAAAAATTGTCTCATTTTGATATTTAATATTTCAATTGTATTATTTTAGTCACTGAAGTATTGAACATGTTTCTATGTAGTCTCTCAAACAAACAACATCCAAATTAGTAACGGTTTTTTATCATAAATTTATCATGTGGTACTTAAATATACGTAAAAAATAATTTGGATAGTTTTTGACAAAAAATTTGTAATATGAGTATCTTTTAACCAAATTTTAGATAGCTCATGATCAAAATTACGCAATTTGAGTAGCTCTTTAACCAAAATTTTGGTAGAAATTTGGTCAAAAATTATTCAAATTATTTTTTTCCATATTTAAGTATTACGTGACAAATTTATAATAAAAAATCGTTAGCAATTCGGACATTGTTTACTTGAGGAATCACATATAAGAATATTTAATATTTCAAAGACTAAAATGATGTAATTAAATATTGAGAATTAAAATGAGACAAATTTCATACTTTGAGGATCTCTAGTACAATTAACTTTTCATAAAATAATAGGGTTAATTATTTTAGTAAAAACTTGAAGGGGATAAATTGTTTAAATTGAAACTATAATGACTTAATTGTAATATGACTTAAACCTAGACGGGACATTTTGTAATTATCCAAAATAATATGAAAATCTTAGCTGAAAACCATAATTTAAAAAATTATATATATTCTGAACAAAATGACTCCGAATGAAATTTATCCTATACATCCCCTAAACTATAAATATTAAATACTAACCCAAAAAAATCATATATTATGAACTGCTCTACGCTGCATAGTCCAATGGTCCACTGATATTACGTTGATATACACATTTTCAACCTTCTCCCCTCAACTTACCGAGGTCGAGCTGTTACATGAGCAAAAAACTCTATATCTAGTCTCTCTCTAAAATTCAGTCACTCTCTCTCTTGATCTCGCGCACCCACTGCTGGCGAATCGGTAGAACGAAGATCTTCACCGAGAGTCCAAGTGATTCACTGTGATCTTACTCGGATCTCTAGGTTCTTCATCCCACAACTGTCCGTATTGACAGATTGAGGGCTCGTTGTTCATCTCTCTAAAAGATGGTGAGTCCACCACTGTTTACAGGATTCACAAATGCTTTCACGTTTCGATTTGATTTAGATCCGATTCAAATCGGATTCGCAAATCAGGCTTTCAAATGCATGGATTTTCCGATATACTCTTGAAATTGGAGTTTTTTATTTATTTATAATTTGAAAGCTGCTATTTGAGATCTAGTTTTGTGGT